TGTTTTGTTTTTTATGGTTAACACGTAAAATAATTTGTTTTCTGTGGTTTTATGAGATTTTATTTGAAACTCAAGAACTCTATAAAATACGTCCCAGAAATCCTGAACTTGTTCAGTCGTTAATGGACTCAGTTTGTCTTTCAAGTGTAAACATCTGTGAACGAATGAACCAATGAAGTAATTCAGTTACAGTCAACCTGTACATTCATCCTTTCATTCTGTGGTTTTACTGGATGTACATATATACAGTATATATATATGTGTGTGTGTATATATATATATATATATACAGTATATATACAGTATATGTATATATGTATAGTATGTGTGTGTGTATATATACAGTATATATACAGTATACAGTATGTACAGTGTATGTATGTGTACATGAAGCCCGGCAGACAGAACTGAGCTGTCCGGACCTTCCACGTCCTTCTCTGTTTGCTCTGGATGTTTACCTGCATGTAAACTCTCATCAGCTGCACCGGAGCGGACCAGAGCCTCGGTTCTGGCTCGGTTCTGCTTTGCTTCCTTCTCAATGGAAACTTTTGTTCTGCTGTTCCGCCAGCCGGGCCCGGTTATGAAACATTTATGGACGACAGCAGAGGAACCGGCACCACAGACGTGCACTCACACATGCACACAAACGCACCGCTGGGTCAGAACCAGTAGAACTGATTTATCTGCTGCTCGGCGCCGCTGGCAGGTGACTCACCAGACTGGAGACTGGGTCCTGCACAGATCCAGAACTTCAACAGTATCAGAGTTCTTGTTTAAAACGGTGCCGGCCTCAGAGCGGGTCGGCAGCCGGTCCAGCGGAGCTGCACAGAACTTTATTAAAGCACATTTTAGCTGCTGAGGCTCTAACTGATCTAATAATCGGATAAAGAAGCTGTTTGTGCACACGGCTGACCCGGGTGGTTCTGCACAGGGCCTCCAGGGCCCCGGTCCAGATCAGGCAGCACCGGTCCCTGTGCTGAGCAGTAAACTGATGGCTCTGAGCTCTGTAGGATGAGTTAGAGGAGTGCTGCTCTGCTGTGTCCTGGACGGTTCAGGTCCGTTAACACCGGACCTCCTCAGACCCACCAACATCTGTCCAGAACCACTGGTACCACTGTGGTTAAACACCAGACCTACTCAGACCCACTAACATCTGTCCAGAACCACCACAGTGGTCGCCCACAGGCTGCTGCTGACATTTTGTTACACGTTTTGTCTTTAAGTTTAAAACCAAATCAGCAACTGAACAGTTTCTGGTTTAAACCAGTTTGTTGTTCTTCATTTATAAAGTTAAATGCTTTAAAAAAATAAAGAATGCACCGATGAGCTGGAGTACTGCTAGAACCTCTAAACTCTGTTCAGCTCCTCCAGTCTGAAGGTTCTCTGGGTTCTTCTCCTCTGTGACACCAAACTGAACATCTCTGGACTGAACCAGACGTTGGAGGAAACTCTGATCCACGTTTTAACATTTTCTGATATTTTAAACATCAAACAATTCAAATATTCATGCAGAAAACAATCTACAGGCTAATTGTGGAAGTAAATCCCATATATCAGAGCTTGTATCACTTAGATTGTTAATCAGAAACTATTTTAATAAGAAATAATAAATGAATCAATTCAAGCATTTACAATAAATCCAATTTATTCCAGGATCTTAAATGTGAATTTGTTTGACTGTAAAATTACGCTATTTTCTTTTTACACTATTTAAATCTGCTATAAATATAATAATATAACAGATATTTCTGTTATTTATCAGTAAATTATTCTATGTTCAGGTTGAAAATGTGCAAATACATTATTTTTCCTGTTATTTTGCTGTTTTGTTAAATTACAGCTAAAAACTTGTAAAATTACAGAAAAGTATTAATGAACATGTAACGTTCACGAAAACCCAAATAAAGTAGTAATGTTTGTTTGTTTGTTTGTTTGTTTGTTTACAGTGTACAGGGTTTATGGATTTTTCTAAACTAGTAAAAGACAATAATAAGATATGAAGTGTTCTAGTTGCAGCCACATGATCTACTGATCCAGACTCTGCTGATCCAGACTCTGGTTCCGTGACGACTCACTGATGACTCGCTGTGTGTGTTTGTGTCTCAGGTGTCGGGTCGGAGGTCCCGCCAGGTGTTGGAGGCGGAGCCAACAGAGGGGGTGTGGTCAGTGTGGGGGGAGTGGTCAGAATGCTCCCAGACCTGCGGCGTGGGCGTGTCCCAGCGGAGCCGGAGGTGTCTACCTCCCCCGCCGCCCCAGACCCCGCCCCTCTCTCACGCCCCGCCCAGCTGGGCGGGCTACCTGCCGGGTGGCGCCAGAGCTCCCGTCGTCTCACCTGTGAACCCCTACTACCCCCACCGTTACCCGGGGCAACACCGGCCCTACCACGCCTCGCCCCTCCCCTCCAACCGGAACCCGGGGCTGCCGCTGTATCGGAACACACCTGCTGGGGAGGCGGGGCCTCCCGTTCCAGGACAGGCCAACCGGCCGCCTCCTTTTTACCAGCCGGAGTTCTCTCCGGCCAATCAGGAGGTGGTGCCCGTTTACCAGCCGACCTATCACGCGCCTTCGCTCGGCTACAACCAACAAGCTCGCATCATCAGGAGGCCGACCAATCCTGGAGCAGCCAGGGGGGGAGGAGGCGGGACCAGGCGCTCGGTCGTCACCAATCGGGAGGCTTTGAATTCAAGGAGGTGAGTGAGATGAAGCTGACGAGGAGAACCAGAGGTCGCTGGACCGGTCTTCATCCTCTGATGTAGAATCGAACCAGAATAAAGGATCCGTTGGGTTCCTGTGGATCAGCACCAGACAAACAATCAGAGTCTAATAAACATATATTCATAAATGAATATAATCCAGGAAAAATGGACAAATGCAATGTCAAAAAGAAAAAAAGAAACTTTGTAGGAACGTCTGATCTGGGGCGTTGAAACTGGAAATAATGTTTTCAGCTGCTTCAATCCACAGACTGTATAAAAGATGGACGTAGCAACCGGCCCTGAAACATGAAGCCGACCCGGAAGTGTCAGAAACCTGCAGATGTGACAGATTTTAGATCCTATTTGGTAAAAACTGAACCTCACTGTTGGAGTCTGACAATATTTTTAAAGTAATTTATGAGAGAGCAACAAAAACTTTTACTGTTAGATGTTTTAATTCCTAAATATGAATAATTTCTGCCCCAGCAGTCGCATGTGGGTTCATCTCTGGTCCAGACGGGACTCTGAGCTGTTGTTTGGGTCAAAGAAGCTCAGATTTAACAGACTTTAAACTGGCTGGATAGATTTCCTGTGATTTATCTCGGTGCTGCTAAACTTTATGATTCTGAATCATCACCAGCATCAGCTCCTGTTGGTTCTAATGAAGCACAGCCTGGTTCTGAGCTGGTCCCCGGTCAGTGGACAGAACCCGAAGCTTCACCGTTTGCTTTGCTCAGCAGCCTTTTCCTGGAAAATGTCTCCGGCACAAAGGAAGTGAGCTTTGCGTCGCTGGCAGCAGCAGCTGGGGTTTGTTTAGGAAAAGAGCAGAAGTCATTGTTGGGATGAGCAACAATAGCAGCACATTCTGAGCCGCAGGAGATCCGTATCTGCTCACCCAGCACCAGGAGAACCTGGTTTCTGGCTATTTTTGGCGGTCGAAGTGAGTTGGAGGCGCTGGCCGTTGTTGGCGGGTTGGTTCTGGTGCTGTGAGCGGTGCCGGCTGGCGTCGGGCCGGCGCTGCTATCTGCTGCTGTTACATCAGCTCCTCTGGTTTTTATCACTGACAGGCTCCAGGCTGCTCTGAGGGCTTCAGAAATTCATCCCGACGCTGGTTCTCCTCCTCCGACTGCACGCCGTCGAACAAACTGACGTCTTGTTATATTGTTTTATTATGAAACGCACACGACTGAATAACTGAAATAAAAATCCAAAGTCTTGCTCTATACGAGAAACTTTAAATCAGAGAAGATCCTGATCTGTCGGACGTCTCTGATAGAAACCTCCAAAACAATCCAACCAGGAGCAGCCGGGCCACCAGCAGAACTGTAGCAGAAGAAAACAACGTTCTGGTATCAATGCAGACATTTTCCAACATCAAAATAGAATGTCTCACCTTAATTTACGATAGAGATCAGTGTTTGTATTTTCTGTTTTTATTTTTATATTATATAAAAATTAGATATGAAATTATTCTTATTTTTTGGCATCAAAACATTTTTCAAAGCAATCAGCCCCTTTTTATTCTAACTTCACCAACTCTCATCATGTTTTTGCTTTAATAGAAGAGACAAACAGATTCTGGTTTACTGTGAACGTAGAGCTGAACAAGCTGCTTTGTTCTGCATCATACCTGTAAACTCACAGCTTATCTTTGCAGTTCAGTCTCTGTTAAATAGAATTAAAGAATCCCTCCCCCCCGCCCCCCCACCGGACCGGTCCAGGCAGATGGCCTCCTGCCCTGAGCCTGGTTCTGTTCTGGGGTTTTTTCCTCCCTTGGGGGGTTTGGTTCCTTCCCACCGTTGCCGACCTCTTGCTCAGAGGGAGTCTGATGGCTGCTCTGGATTGTTGGCTCTCTGTTCAGATCAGTGAGGTCCAAACCCGACCCGGTCCAGGCTGTGCGGTGACGAGTTGTAACTGAGCTACACAAATAAAACTGAACTGAACCGAACTGAAAAAAAGAACAATCCTTAAATTGGACTTTTCTCGTAGTTTTTCTTGAACCGTGTGAGTTTTCTTCTGTGGAGGCTGCAGCAGGACATTGACTTCCTCTCCTTCACACCTCCTTATGGTCCTGGTTCTGGTGCTGTTCTGCTCCTGCTGATAACCTGAATGTTCTGATTTCTTTCAGGTCGTCCTCCATCCGTCCAGGCCAGTTCGGCTACGGCAGAGTTCCCTTCTCTCTGCCGCTGCATCGGCCCAACCGGCAGGCCCGGCACACCGCCAACAGCACCGATGACCCACTTAACGAGGACTCTACTGGACCCGGCAGGACCGAGGAGGAGGAGGAGGAGGAGGAGGCGGAGGAGGAGGTGGAGGAGCAGCAGGGGAGGGCAGCTGATGAGGAGGAGCAGCAGGAGGCCACCGAGGCAGCCGGGGAACTGGAGGCTCCCACGCTGAGCTCCACCACCGGCAGCCCTCAGCGCCGCCCGGACCGGCCGCCACACAGCGAGCAGAACCGGGCCAGAGAACAACGAGTCCCCCCGTCTCACCCCTTCTCCCGCTCCTCCCCCACTGTGGGCCACCGGCACCGGTTCGACTGGCGCTCCGTCACCGCTCCTCCTCCCCCCGTCCCTCCCCTGTCTCGGCCCGCCTCACCCTTCTCGCCTCCCCTCCACCGGCCCGGGCCTGGACCCAGACCCAGTCCCAGGGAGCTCCACCTGGCCGGCAGTGTCTTCCCCCTGCAGCATCCTCACCTGTCGCACCTGGGAGCGGAGCCCGGCAGGGAGGGGGGCGGAGCCTCGCAGGTCTACAGGTGTTCAGGACCCGAGAAGGAGCATCGCAGGTGTTTCTCACAGGTAGGAGTCCAGACAGGTTCACCTGGAACGTGTGTTTACAGAAATAATCCCTGATATCTGCGGTTCAGGAGAGTCTGTGTTTGACTTTCTGGGTTGATTTTAACTCTGAAGCTCGTCTCACAGTTTAACCCACTGAGGTCCAGTTTCCTTCACTGAGGTTCAGGTTTCACTAAAGTCCTGCAGCTCTGAGGAACCAGAACCATGAAGGAGGAGAGAACTCAGACGTCTTCTGTCAGCAGGACTCAGAACCACTGAGACCAGAGAGAAGGAACAAGAAAGTTTCTTTGATAAATCACAAAAGTTTTACCAACCTGGAATGAACAGTGTCTGTCCAGGTGTCCTCAGATGTTCAACCTGGAGCTCATGTGGTCTCCTCATCCTGCAGATGTTCAGCTATCTCCATGCTCCAGCCTCTCCTCTCTGGCTCCTCTGTATGATACGAAATGATGAGTTTTTAGGGCTTTAAGTTGGATCCATCGGTTAGATTTCGGGTTCTGATGCCGACCGTCCACCTCAGCTTCTTATGTCTGTTCAAAGATTTGAATCAAACAGACGTCCTGACTCAGAATGCTCAGTGTCTGGTTCCTGATGCTGCCTCCATGTGTCAGGAGGAGGCGTGGAGATGTGATGGCGACACACAGGATGCTGCTATTTGTTGTTTCGTGCGACGCCCGGCTGCGGTCCAACACTTAGCGGCTAACGGCAGCAGAAGGAGAACCTCTGAGCTGGGACTGGCCGCCGTCGTCCCCGGAGACCTCGTCTGATTGACTGATGTTTAGAGGCAGTGACGCTCCGGCTGGAGGCTGCTGCTAATCTAAAGCAGAGAGCGCTGGACAATGTCTGGCTGGATGGTTTAGACTCTGAAACAGGAACATGTGGGGAATGTGCAGGTTTTAGGCTTCATGCTTCAGTACAGACAGAAACAGAAGCTCAGCATCACCTGGTCGCTGCTCCAAAGCTCACCTGCAGCGTCTTCTCTGAACCTCACACCGAGTCGAGTGATTTGCAGCAAAGTCGCCGTCCGACTCTCACCTGTGTGTCTCAGGTGAGTCCTGGCATCTCGGCCAGACCCGACACATGTTCCTGTTCACATGTATGTGCAGCCCAACACAGATTTATGTGTCGGGCTTCACAGCAGACGTCTGTGTTCTGGTCGTGATCCAGAATGAAACACTTTCCTCGGGTCAGCGAGGCGGTTTCCGTCCGAGCGCTCGAAGACAAGCGGCCAGTGTTGAAGCTGAGACGGATCGGCTCGGTTTCCTGCTGCTGCGTCACATGGCCTCCATGTGGGCCGGGTCGGAGGGAGGCAGGTGAACAACAGGTGAGCTGATGTTTAGCGGCGCCGTCCTTCTGTTTCTGACGGGACGGTGTTTCTAATAACTGCAGACGTCGTCTCTGATCTTTGTGCACGTCTATCATCTCTGTAGCTTTAAAGTTAGACGTCCACCACCAAGAGGTCTCAGGAGAACTTCAGCGTTTGGTGAATCGCAAACTCGTGCTTCTGAGTGATTTTTTTAGGTTTGGTTCATTTTCACCACTTCTCTAGTATTGGTGGTTTGATGGTGGAACATCTTCCTACTGATGGTGGAACATCTTTCTACATCTGATGAGCAGAGAGGAGCCTGGAACATGGAGATAGTTCAACATCTGCAGGACCAGGAGACCACATGAGCTCCAGGAAACAACACACCACCAGAAGGATGAGACTCAAAGCGACCAGTAAGAAACAAAAGGGGACGAAAAACATCCAACCAGAGACACAAAACAACAGAAAAGAGACTAAACTGTCTCAGGATGTAAAATATAAATTATCTGCTGACAGAAGATGTCTCTGGGTTCTCCTCCTCCTCCTCCATGTTCTGGTTCCTCTGAGCTGCAGGACTTTATGCTGGAACCTGAACCTCAGTGGGTTAAACTGTGCAGAAGCTGCTGTAAGTTGAGGCTTGATGCGGTGAATAATCAGGTCTTCTACGGCTGCATTCATGGGTGGAAACTAAACTGGGCTGAACTCTGGTGGACAGAAATACCGGCAGCGACATGTGACCGCTGTTTCTTCCTGCAGTCTATCTTAAGTGAAGGCGCAGATAAGATTTGCTTCAACCAACGCCACACACACAGGGACTGTTTCAGGTCTACGAGTCGCTCTAATCGAGTGGAAGCAGACACTCGACTCCTGCTCTTCAGATGATTTGGCGGCTTTCATCCCCCTCTCCGCTCTGACTGTGTGTGTTCGTGGTGTTGAAACAGATTTAGGTGCTGGCAGAGCGCTGGCTGTGGGTGCCAGCAGCGCTAATAGCAGTCCTGTGACGCCGGGCCTGACTCACCGGGTTACATATTTACCCAGCGTTAGCTCGGCTCCGGCCGCTCCTGCACTCGCTTGTTGCTTTTATGTGTTTTTAAAGAAACGCAGGACTTCGCCCGGGCTTGCATGTGTGTTTGTGATTTAGGGAGTGAGCCAGAGCGAGTGTGACACATCCCATTATCTGTTAGGTGTGTTTGTCATAACACGGCCAGCCGGAGGCCCATCGCAAGTGTGTGTTTTCACTGTTGCATGGAGGCAAATGGGGAACGGAGAGAGGGCCGGGAGGAAATGAGAAGGGCAAAAGGTGAGCAGTGTGTGTGGAGGGCACAAAGGAAGTGACGCCGCTAAGTAGTAGTGAAAGAGAGCAGTGTTTGTAGAAAATCTGCACACAGTGGAGGGAGGAGGAGGAGGAGGAGGAGGAGGAAGGGATGGAGGAACAGATCCAGCAGGAGCAGCAGCGTAACCAGCAGGACTGGGAGGGCGGAGGCTGGAGAAGCTGGCTGAAGAGGAGGCCAACGAAACGCTTCCCGTCTCCTCGCACCAAACTCCTCTCTGTCTGAGTAAATATTTAGCAGAACCACTAACAGCCAGTGGAAGCGCCATGACCTAAAAAGATCCGACGCCAGGGAACCGTTCGTCCAGGAGACGAGCTGCTCTCACGTTTCACAATCCTGTTTTCGTAGTCTTAGTTCGGTGTGAAATCCTCCACGTGAGCGGCCTCGTCGGGGTTCCTCTGGACCCGACCCGAGCCTCACAACCGCCAGCGACTGGACGTAGCTCTGGTCCAGAGCTGGACACACAGCGATGGAGGCCTGCTGTCAGCCTGCATGGTGAACTTTATGTTGAAGGTGGAGAAACAAGGAGCTGCTTGTCTCTGGGTTAGCCTGGAGCTGGAGCTTTATTCTGAAGGAGGCTGTTTTTAAAGGAGCTGCATGAACAGATCTGACTTTGGGTACAGAGCTGCAGCGGATTCACGGTTTGATCGATAAACTTTATCAAAATGCTCAAACACAAAGTGAAGCAAAGGTTTTAGGAGCTTTTTTTAGTTGAAGGTGAAGCTCGTGCTCCACAGCGACTGGTTGAACTCAGACAGGACAAGAACCGCCTTTCTTCTGTCATGTTCCACCATCTCTCCGGCTTTCTCTTTCACTTGTGCAGCGTTCTTGGTGCTTTATGGATAAACCTTGAACTGTGTGCTCCTGTACTGTGTTTCTGTGGATTTTCTGTAAATGTCCTAACAGAGGTTTTGGAAACTGTTTTTAGAGGAGAAACCAGCCAGTTCATCTAAAACAGGCCAAGAACCTCCATTTTTCTGGCCCGTTGTTTTCTTTGTGCAGCGTTCTTGTTGTTTTTAAGCTAACTTTGAATTCACGCTTCGACTCCCGGCTGGTTGAACCGTTCGCTGCATCTCAGTCCGATAAGTCTTTGTCTGGATTTTCTGCAGAATATCCAACAAATGATGTAAATAAGAAGATTTACGATGTGGTTTTATGGAGCTGCTACAACGAGATATTGTCATTTCAGAACCCCGGAGCGAAGTTCTGCTCTTGTTTGTTGATGCTGTGGTTTTGCTGTTCGTCTTTCTTTCCTCTGCAGCGGTTATTCAGGACCGCTCAGAGCAGTAGGAGCTTTTATTGTGAAGGAGGTTCTACAGCGACAGTTCTTGCTGTCAGATCGTGGACAAAGGTTCGATCAGATCGGCTTTCTGTGGA